TTAATTACAACAACAATTTTTATGTAATTCGATTAAAATTGTTATAAAAAACAATTGTAATTCAATTTAATTGCAAATTTTAAGAAACTGAAAAGACTAATTATATTTAAATGGAGAATTACATTGTCATTAACTGTAACCGTATCTAAATAATTCATTAAATTTATATAACCCGTTTCTTTTTTGTATGATTATCAGCTGTGATCCGCAAGAACATGTGAGTGTCGCTAAAAGAAAACCTGAAGATTTAAACATAAGTCATATTTAAATTTTCGGGTATTCTTTTAGCAACACATGTCGCAACAAATTTTTCCCGACAGTTTCTTGAGTTTGATTGGCTAAGAGCGATGATCAACAATTTGGCTGGAATTACTCAAAATTTTACTAATTTTCGTGGCTACGAGCCATGTCTTATGTACTATATTCGGGGTATGTTAGGCTTCGAAGACCTAAGTCGGGTTAGGCATTGACACGTAATTGTGTAAGTATTGTGAATGGTTGGTTCGCATTAGTGCGTCGATCAAATTTGTAATAAGGTATGCGAAGGTATATTAGTAATTTATGTAGCATAGATCGTAGTTTGAACGTTGTGACGGTGAAAATCGGTTAACAACTTTCTAACTTGTAAGTGAGGTTGCTAGTAAGCGAAAGCCTAATTTTGGATTCTAGTAAATGTTTCAGAATTGTTCTTTCGACACCCCGATTGGTAAGCTTCAATAGAGGTGTGTATTGATTGGGTCTGAAAATAGGGTGTGCTTTTATGCTGCAGTGGTCACGGGAACACGTACGGACTGGTTTTACTCTTTTATGCTTAAATTCAAGCATTAGCCTTAATCTTGCTATTACCTTTATTTCCTGGGCACATGTCACAGGAACACGATTCAAGGGCAGTGACGTATATGAGTTTATTAACAATAAGGTTAATCACAAACTCAATTACTAAAAGATTTTGTATAAGTAGGGGTTGATTTCTAATTCGATTTCTCTTTTTTTTACTTTTAACACACTAATGATAATCGACCTAATATGTATCACAGAGACAAGAAAATATGATCTCTGACATAATAGTTACATTACAACTCAAGGGATACTCAAGAGAACTAATACTTTTATTTTGGTTACTTATGAACTTGATAGGAGAGTTGTTCTTTATTTCAATCAAAGATTGAGGTTTTATATACATTTTTGTTATTATGTCTGTTTTACTAACATTTTTTCTCTTTCTTCTCTTTATATCATTATTGTCATTACTGTTAATGCTGACATAGTTGTCATAGCTGTCAGATATGACAGTTATAGCAGCAGTTTACTAAATTTGGTTTAAGTCAATTCAAGTCACTTTGGTCATCAATCTTAGTCAAATTTTACTTTTACAATTCTTCTGATCTTGTTTTCAAGTTTCATGAGAATAACATATGTTCTATAGTACTAACTTGAAGGTAAATAATAAAATTCACATATTTAAAATAAAGAGAAACACTGATAGAAAAATAAAAAATAAAATAAATAAAAAAAATAAAATAGGACAAAATAATAAAATTTTTTTTATTTTTTATTTTTTAGAAAAGAAATTCGTTAAAGTCATCCTCTATATAGGAGTCTGTCAAGAGTTCTTCAACTGTTGGTAGGATGGAGCTTGTTGAAAGTGCAACCTGTATAGTTACTAGTAGTCTTGAAATAAAAGATGTGTGATTTTAAACAAGTTCATATAGGTAGAACAACAGATTGTTCTATCCAAAATATTTAAACACATTGTATACTCAAATGGTAATGATATAGTAATGTTATGTCAATTTAATTTTTTACAAAGTTCATTGTGCTGGTGTTAATTGTTTAATCAAGAAGCTTAAATAATACATATAGGTTAAGGTTTCTACATGGTTTTCTATATGAGTAGTTTGTAGTATAGATCAGTAAGTCAAGTCTATTTTTGCTTCAATAGTATCTGTTTTCATATATAATAAGAAATTGTGACTACTGTTATTGGTTGAATTGACAATAGGTTATTAATGAATAGGTCAATATTTGTAGGTATTTTGAATTTGGGGCATTGAACTTGCTTTACTCATCTGGTATCTATTTATAATTTTTTTATCATAATGGTTTTTAATAGTTTTTTATTGAATAGATTAACTAACACTTTTTCTTCTAATGTTCTTAATTTATATATACTATTTTCATGAACATTATGTATATAATAAGATTCTTTTCATTGTAGGACTAACTTATAGTTTTGCATTCTTATTTTTTTGTATTATAAGCTCATACTTTATCTCCTATTAAAAAGTTATTGTTGTTTTTTATTTTCTCAACATGAATAATTTTTTTCTTTTGTTGATTTTCACAAATTTAGTTTATGGCTTGGTTACAGGCTTCTTGCAGATTATGTTCTAAGTTAAAGATCCTTTATATAAATGTATCACCTAGCAATTCATTTGATGCACTTGAATGTATAGGTTGGTTAGCCTCTCTGTCATATACAAGAAATAACAGTGTCAATTATATGAAACTATACCTGGCCATTTTGTATGCAAATAGGATAGGTTATATGTATGCATCCTATTCTTTTGAATTTTCTACCAATTTAGTGAATGATATATAGATCAACTTGTTAAATCTTTTAACTAAGTCATTTGTCTGAAGATGATATAATATTGAATAATGGTGCTTGATTTGAAACTTTGCCAACAGATTATTGATTGTCATGTTTCAAAAATACAATTCTTGGTCCATAAGAATGATGTTTGGGCATTTATATTTGCAAATTATTTTCTCATAAATAAAACTGCCAACTTCTTTGACTGTGTCATGTTGTATGGCTTTAGTTTCTCACCATTTTGTTAAATAAACAGTTGTGATAATAAGATATTTGTTTAATTTAGGTATTATAAATAAAGAGTCCATAATATTTATATTAATTCAACTAAAGAAAGTTCATATTGATATAAGATGTAGAGACTCATTCATCCTTTTACTTTCTTGTTGCTGGCATCTTACACAAAATTAGATGTATTTGCAAATATTTTTGTATATTCGTAACCAATAATAGTAGCATTTAAATTTATTAAAGATAATTTTCTTGTTCAAATGTGTTCCTAGTAGATTATTATGAAATTGGAATATTATTGATTCAATTTCATGTTTCTGGAAGACTTTTAATAACTTATTCTTGTTGTTTTTGTTCTTCTTATATAATAAACCCTTTTAATAATAAAATTTTTATTGTGTAGCCTCAATTTGTGATACTGTATTTTATTAAAGTCTGGTGTTATTTGTCTATATTAGATATAGTTTTTCAAAATGAAATATTTTTGTAGATTCACCTTGTTTATCTTTTTTTTATTTCATTTTTTTTATTTTTATTTATATTGTCAAGATACTGATATCTGGACTGGATTTACTTTAATATTAGGTTTGGATTATAATAAATATTGTGTTTCTTATTCTTATGTTCTTGTATCTTTATGCCTTTTACTAATAGTTTAAAATTGTTAGTTATCTTTTTCAATTTCAATTTCAGTTTAGTCAATAAAAGTTCTTAGTTGAAATTGAATTGTATTGAGCTTTTGTATCTTGCAAGATTAGTAGAAGTTTTAAACTTATTTTCATTAATATTTGTCTTGTTACTTGAATAGAGCCTCACACTTACTCTATCTTATTTTAATTAATTATACTTTATCATCAGGTCTAATACTCAAATTTATATAATAAATATATATATATTTTTTTATTTTAATTTTTTTTTTTTTACACTCTCACTAATGGTTTAATTAATATTTCCAATTCATATCTGCATTATCATCTAAGAGTAATAGCTATTCTAGGTTTTCAGAATTAATTATGATGCCATAAAATATTTTTCTTTAATATTGATGTTTTACTAATATTTATCATAATTCAGTAGAAGTTGTGAGCATAACCAGAGTCCAGACTTTGTTATTATTATCAAAATCTATTTTCTTATCAACTTATTGTAGTTGGTTGATCTTATACTTCTCTGTAATATTTATTTTACTGCATTTGTTACTACTAATTTTAGGCTTACTAAAATATCCATTCTGATATGTTCAAGTTGTTTTTCTATAAAACTCATTATTCAACTGCTGTATAAGCTTTCTTCAATATTTTTCTTGTTCAATATATTTGTTTAAGGTTTCCTTGTCCTAATAGTTATCCAACAGGTTGTTTCAAGCTTTGTTTTTGTTTTGCTGAAGTTCAACATCATCTTCAAACTCTAAGAACCAGTTTACTAAGATTAGTTCTTTACTATTTTCTTTTAGTAAATAACTTTCAACAAATGTTTAAAAGGTTTTAGCTTTTTCGAATAGATTAACAACTTATACTTTAACAGCTTATTGGTTCTGCAACAATGTCAGTTTGTTTAAGAATGTAAAAGGTCTTTTTATTATTCTGGACAATAAGTCAGCATTATTATGCTTTTGTCTAGCCTAGTGAATAATGATAAAATTGTAAGACTGGAGTCTTAGTATCTAGCATGCTCTTTTTTCTTTCAGTATAATATTCTGCAGCCATTTTAGTGTAGTATGATTAGTAACAATAATAAATAGTTTGTATCCTAAGTAATAATGAAAGTGTTCTATAGCCCAAATTATAGTGTAATACTAATTTAGTTATTGCATAGTTTTGTTCTGTTTTGGTTAGACTTTTACTAGCATAGGTAATATTGTATTTCCTTTTATTTTCTCTTTTTTGAGCTAATATGGCCCCAAGATCAGTCTTAGAGGCATTAGTATATAAATAAAAAATTTATCAAAGTTAGGTGGGTTTTTAACTTTTAAAATGCTTTTTCTTGTTTTGTGCTCTATTCATATTTTATATTTTTTTTTTAACAATTTGTATAAGAGCTTGTCCATGGTTACAAATAGTTAATAAAATGCTAATAATATAAAACCAGTCTAATGAAGCCTTACAACTGCTTTAGATTAGTTAGTATTAAACATTCTTGTACTTTAAATATCTTTTTTTGATTAGATTTGATATCATCTCTTTCTATCACATGATCCAAGAACTAAATATTCATCCTGAACAAATTATATTTTTCTAGATTTAATTTTAATTCTACATTCTTAATTCTTTTTAGCACTTGTTAAAGGTGGTTCAGATGCTTATGATAGGTTTGAGAATAAATTATAATATCATCTAAATATATTATAACAAACTGGCCAATATATTTACTTGGAATTTTGTTTATAATTCTTTGAAAAGTTACAAGTATATTACAGAGTCCAAAAGACATGACAGTGAACACAAATATCCTCTATTTGGTTATAAAAGCTGTTTTCTCACAGTTTTCCTTTTTTATTCTAATTTGCCAGTATTCTTTAGCCATGTTCAAACTGAAAAACCAATTTGCTTTGTTGAAAGTTTCCAGTAGGTCATCTATTATAGATAGTGTTACAGGCGAAAAATTCGTGATGGCTCATGCATCACGATACGTTACACAAGCACTGATCAGGACCCAGGATCGAATATGCACGATCGACCCCACAAACGGTGAAACGTGCATAATCGTGCCCCCAACGCCCAAACAATCCCAGCAAAACGAATATGCCCAAATTGGGGAAGGCATTATGAGCGTAACGGCGATGTTTCAGAGTGGCGGGATCCAGGTGGTAAAAAGATAGGTTAGTAAAGCGCATTGAAATAAAAGTTAAATATAGTATACTAAATATAGTACTTACCCGATTAAGTGAAACCGTAATTGTAGTATAGCGGAACGGTGGGAAAAGTAAAAGGGAAACCTAAAACAAATAGCATTAGTTAGTATAAGAAAAAAATGTATAAAAAAAGCAAAAGGAAGTTTAATAAAATACTAAGCTTTGGCGCCCTAAGTAGGGGGAAAGGATCGAAGTCGTCATAATAATAAAATTGATATTGGCCAAATCTTTATCCACGCCTCGAAGCCTTATTACCCTGAATTCATAACGTTACGCGAGGTCTTGTCTGTTGGAGTGACAGACTCGCCGTTTACCCGTCGCATTTTTGGTGGTGACTGTGAGATTCGTTCAGCAACCCCCACCCCCGATTTGAAAAAACCGCGCAAAGAAAAGAGAGAAGTGTTAGAAAGGAAAACAATACAGTAAAAACAAAAGAAAGCAAAGAACTTACCCAAAAGCCGTGAAGAGGTTGAGATACCGGGGCCGACGTACTGAGTCCGAAGAACTGTATATTTCTTGGGTTGCATCACCCAGACCGACGTACCGAGTCTAAAGAACGTGAAGAAAAGTCAATCCAAATAAGAGGACAAGAAAGAAAAGAACCGAAATACTTACCCGAAGAAGAAGTAGCCAACTCAGTGGCAAGAAGGAATATAACCCGTGGTAAACGTACTCATCAGAAACTGAAAAAAAAGGGGGGAAAGAAAAATTTTCATTAGAAAGTTGATAAAAGATAAAAAAAAAAAAAAAAAAAACAAAACCAAAAATAATAATAATACTTCCGCTTGAAATCTAAAGAACAGAATCCAGCCCAGGTTCCGGTGTCCTGGCAAACCAAGAGAAAGTCAAAGATGTTAGTATCGAAAGAAAACGAAAAGACAAAACAAACGAAAAGAAAAACTAGGAAATTATACATACCAAGAAGGTCGATAATCCGAAACTAGGTGTAATCGTAGAATCGTGCCATCCTACCTATATTTATAAAAGAAAAGCACAAATAGTGTTAGTATAAAGACAAACAACAACAAAAAAAAAAATTATTCATGTTGAGAAAATAAAAAACAACAATAACTTTTTAATAGGAGATAAAGTATGAGCTTATAATAC